CCGTTTTTCTTGACGCGCGGATCCTGCCGGATGTCAGGCACAGCTTGTCGTACACAGAAAAACACATTTCCTATAAAAACACGCGCCGGCCGCCAGCTGCAGCCCTGAACTTACCACTAACCAGGTCTCCCTGGAGGTGAGCAGTAGCCCGTTCCAGTGGGGTAAACCCTCCCCTCGCACCAAGCGCTCCTGCTCCCCCCCAGAGTTCATCTGCTTCTTCAGGAAGTGCTGAAATGATTTTTTTTTAATTCTTCCCCCCCCCGACGTCCCTGGTCTGCTTCAGCGCGGCTCCTGCACCCGCTGCTCCCCGCGTGCACTGACCCCTCCGCAGCAGCCTGGCTTCTGTCAGCTCAGGGCTTGGGTGCCGCCGACCATTTTTTACCTGCTCAAAGCCTCCCTGCAAGCTCCTGTCCAAAGGATCCTGCCAGCGTTGTCCTTTTCAGAGAGGCCACTGACGTGAGCAGCAATGAATATTTTTCCCCTCTTCTTTCCTTATTTCCTCACAGATATATTCCACAGCTTTTCCTCCTGTTATCGAGCCTGAGAGCCCTTTCTTCCCTCCTCCTGGCTCCCGCTCAACACCGCCTGATGTCTTCAGCAGCTCGTGTTTGTTCCCGGGCCGCGGCGCCGCGGGCGAGGTGCTCGGGTACGCCCAGGGTGGGCTGGAAGGTGGGCATTCTGCCTGGGACCCCGGCTCTGCCCCAGCCACCCCGGGATCCTCCTCGCTCAGCCTCTGTCCGTCAGAGTAAACAGCAGCAGATTTTAAAGTAACCCGGGTGCCCCTGACGTTTTTTTTCAATGACTTTTTTTCTCCTGAGGTCAAGTGAAACCGTTTCATTTTGCTGTTTTACTAATAAAAATAATAATAAAAACTAGGTCCCCTAAGTCTACACTTGCATCTAGATCAATTTTAAATGAGTCCACTGCAGCTGGAGTCTGAATCCAGTGACTGAGTCCAGCTTTCTACTGCTGCCCCGTGAAGTCCTACACAGGGGAGTTTTGACCCTCGGCTGGTTTTGAGATGTCGTCTTCCTCCTGGTCCTTCGCATCCTCCTCAGGAGCCCATTCTCTAGCCCAAAAACATCCAGTGAGTCTGTTCAATGCTTGGGTTACTCCGAGCTTCCTTGCGTGCACGATGACAAGAGCTGCGAGTGCCAGGACAGCAACGGTTACTACGGTAAACCCGATGATGAACCTAAAAAGCCCCTTTTTGGTGACCGGTGCAGGCCCGCTGTCAACGCTTCCTCCAAAGCCAACAAACTGGCAGTAGGGAGGTGCCCAGCCGTTGTCACAGTGGCAGTTTCCTCTAGTGTTGCAGACTCCGTTTCCTCTGCAGGTTCTGTTGGCAGAACAGCGGGATGTCAAGTACTTCTCCTTGGGAACGCACGTCCGATTAATGCAGATCTTCTTCTCACCGCACTGCGTGCCGTCCTTAATGACTCCAGCATCCAGAAGGTCCACACCCAAGTGGTAGTCTGTGCCCCAACACCAGGTATCGCCCACCGGGGTTTGAACGATGGTTGTGTGGTCTTCCAGCTGAGGTAGACGTCTAACGTTCGTACACTGCACCCTCCCACACAGGATATTTTCTAGCTCACATTTCTGAAAGTTGATATCTGCCCCATCTCCCCAGCAATTGCCAAAGCGATCCCCTTTCGTGTTCACCTCCTGGAAACATGGTAGTGGAGCGGGCTTTGCTTCCTTGCCAAAGATACTCATACACTGTAACGTGTGAGATTGGCATTTGCCCGAGTAACAGTACCCGTCCTCAGCGCACACGGTCCCATCTTGCTTGGCCACATCTGCCGGGCAATGCTCGGATGTCCCGTTGCAATACTCGGGCAGGTCACACGGACCGGCACTCTCCCTACACACTTTTCCTTCTGGAAGAGGCTTACAATTCTTACAGCAGCCTCCAGAAGTGCAAATGGCTCCTTTTTTTTTTTGACAGTTATTGTCACAACAAAGGTCCAATTTACATTGTGCTTCTGAGCCGCAGTCGCACTCCTCTCCAACCTCCAGGACGCCATTCCCGCAGCGCTGCAGTGCAAATGTTGTTACTGATTCTGGGGCGTTATTAAGGCAGAATCCTTGCCTTGATGCTATAAAATCAAAATAGTGCTTTTTGCTGCAGTTGCTGAATTGATAGCTCACCACGCTGTGTGTGCTCATGATGCATTTCGAGGTGTTTCCACACCTGCAGTATCTGCCATCATGCTCCATGCCAAGGACATGCCCTAACGCACGAGCGACATGGACAGCAGTGTCCACGTAAGGCCGTTTCGCAAACGATACAACAGCAGAGGCGCGTTTTCTATCACAGGCACTGGCGAAGTTGGATTTGCCACCCACGTGCAATGCTCTCGTACCGCGATCAAAGTCCATCGAGGCAAATAGACACCCCACGTCATGCGCGGCGTACGTGAGGCTTTGCTTCCGCCAAAGGTTAAAATTATGAAGGGCCTTGGTTATGTTTTTGGAAACACTGATAGGGTTCTTCTCCACCCAAACCTCTAGTGCAGTTACCAAAACACGAAGGTGGAAAGAATAAAACAGCCCGTCCACCAGATTGATTATTTCAATAACTTCCAGCGTCACATTAGTTATACTTCTGCCAAAGGCGTCAAAGCCTTCCTTGTCCACCACGACAAGGAGCTCCAAATACCGCGTGTGCCCCCGGGGCTGGAACTGCCCCGTCGCTGTACCAGGACCTGGAAACTGTCCGCCTTCGCTGGGCATTTTGTACATCACTGTTCCAGGAACCGCCTCATCCCTCTGCAACAGAAGGTGCTCAGCCACGGTGGAAGCTGCCAGGGGCTCGATGCTGTAGCTTGAGTTTCCAATCTGCAGCAGCCCTCTGAGCCCAGAGCAGGTAGTCAGAGTCACCGCGGAGTCCGGGATGCCTTCCATGTAGCCGTGGTAATAGCAGTCTGCCGGCACATGGGGCTGTTGGACCACAATTTCCCCTCGGGAGTGACGAGTGAATACGGGGAAGTTTTTTATGACGAAGTCTTTCTGCCTGAGGTGAATCGTGTAATTTACCCCCTGAATGCTGATGACATAGGACACTTCGTCCTGGCTGGGTTTCCCCACCTTTGGGCCAAGTTTCCTTGGAATAACTATCTCGTAGACCGTGTAGCCCCAAGAGGGCTGGGGGCTGCAGTCTGTGCAGGGCAGGAGCCCCCGGAGCAGGAAGGAGAGACCCAGTCCGAGGAGGAGAACCCCACTGCCCGTCGGGGTGCTCCTTGGCCGGGTCCAGCTTGGAGCCATGGTCACTGCTCCCAGGCTGGAGGAAAGAAAGGAAAACGTGGACGACGAAACATCAGAAAAGCTGCCTGTAACTCAGCAGCAAAGATCCCTTCTCACCACCAGGACACCGTCCCTCAGGGTCTGTCCTCTTCTCCCTGCTCAGCCTGCAGCCAAGCGCAAGTCTCCTGCTCCCTTCATCCAACGGGCCTTTTCTTGGCTCTTCCTCAGCTACGGGGAGGCAGGACACGCCGGGAGGCAGCCAGCCTGCCATCCAACTGCAACGGAGCAAAGCGGCGCGGGAAAGACCTGGCGCGGGGCGGGAAGCCGGGGGGGAAGAGCTGCTCTCGGGGCTGGAACACAAGGGCCCAAGGGGCAACCGTTTCTCCAGCTCCGCTTCAAACACAAACATTCCGTGGGGAGGGTGGGACCCGGGCACCGGCACAGGCAGAAGCAAGCAGCGCATTAAATTCACCCCGTTGCATCGCTGGGGGTCTGCTGTGCCCTGCTTGGGCTGACCCCGTTTGCTGAGAGCGCGATGCGCCAGCGCAGCTACAGCAATTTGTTTAAAAGGGGATTAAGGGTTGATAAGTGGATAGCAATAGATTACCAGGGAAACAATGATTTGGTTGCTAATGGGACCTGCAGCTGTGAGAGCCTTCAACCTCTGTTGAGAGATATCCTTGCAGAGCTCATCACTCAGCCGAGCACACGTCACTGACCGTTTTAACTATTTGAGGGGAGTTTTCTTGCTGGAAAGGGAGAGGCATTCTTTGGGCCATTCATCCTCCGGTGAGGAGAGGAGAAGCTTTTCTTGTTTCACTTCTATAGAGCACTTGCAGCTTGTTTGGCTTAATACTTATTTGGCCTTAAATACTCCCAGGATGCTTGGAAATTGTTCTCTCTCTCCCCTTCCTGATACTAAGGATGCTCTCACAGTCACTCGTTATCCACCACACTATTAACTCCCCAAAGGTACCAAGCAGACGGATGTTAACTCTTGCAAAGAAGGTGGCCTGGGGCACACGGGCACTCACAGCTGTCCCACCCCCTCTTTTTGTGCCACTTTTCTTCCAAAATGCTCATGTCACAAGGGTCTCTGCGGTTGCCGCCGACAAGCTGGTCAAACCGTGCTGGAGGAGAACAGCAGTATTTCTAGAGCCGGGAAGCGTGCAAGCACCAGCCTGGAGGGCCCCCGGCTGTGTTCAGAAGGGCCGCCTGCCTCAGAGGCCAGGAGAAGGACGCCGCTGCTCCCCGGCAAAGCGCACTGCCAGCCCGGACGAAAGCCAACCCGTTTCCCGTCCACCGCCGTCTCTCCCGTTGCCCATCCAGCCACAAGCCACCGCAGCGCTCCCGCTTCAGCCACCTTCAGCGCCCTGCAAGGCTCATCATCCGCAACAAACTGGTTCCTCGTTCCTGCCTCAAAAAAAAAAAAACCACGCACCCACCCACACGTGGCAGAACGGAGGAGCCGTTATACCTGACGGGGGGAAACATCACCGAACACAGAACAACTCATCCCTCAACCAAAAAAAAGCAGCCAGTAACTTTTAAGTTTAGTAAAATCATTTATATACACCGATGCGTAATATTTACAATATAATACTGATCCCAAATGAACTAACATGTTACAGGTAACACTGGAAAGGAGAAATGAAAACGTTTTAATACACAGAAGTTAAACATGGTGTATGAGAACAGACTCAGATTTCCAAAAGAAAAACCTGAAGTAATGACAGCAAAACTTTGACATGTGGCTATTTCCCATCAAAAACTCTTTCGCCTAGTCAAGTTCTAACTTTTTAATATATATATATAGCGCTTAAAATAATCAAGTCACAGGAGAAGTCAGATATACATAAAATTTTGAAAAGGTCAAATGACTTCAGAGGTTTTTCTCTTAAATAAAATTCTTAAAAAAACCCTACAGAGCTTTCTCATATCCTTTTAGTGTTTGTACAAAGAACGTTGCCTTTGATCCCGCACGGCCCTTCCATCTCAAGTTATTTACAATATTCACAGTCTGCTATAAAGGATCAGTAGATTTATTACCAAGTAAAACCTTACATAATCAAGACAAGGTATCTTGCATTTACGCCAACTGAAAAACAAAAAACACAGGAAGGAGAAAGTAAAATACGACTTTAAAACATGTCAATTAATCCATTAAAGCGTATTTAATTTTGAAATCTAAAACATAACTTTTTAAAGAGTAAAATAATCAACTTTCTCATAGAAATAAAACCATTTGACCTTGAATCTTCAAATTGTGTTCTCTTAATCTGTCCCTCCCTGCCTCTGTTTTAGATCAGGCCGTTCTTATTTATCACAGACAATAAAATCTATAGCAAATCCATAAAAAGCAGTTCCTTATTCACAAAAGCCTTTAGAAATTTGACTTCCCTCCAGACACCAGAACACTTTGCGGTCAGTCGCAGATGTCCCCACCTCACTATCAGTAACAGCTTGAAATTACTCTGTTGTGCAAGTTAAAGGAGGACGAGGAGAGGAGGGACCCTCTAATGCAGTCAGGTCCCATCTTCTCTGCTTGTTTCTGAACTGCCTTCGATGTCGGCGAGCAGCTCTCACTCCCAAGCTGCTCCCCACCACACCAAGCGCGCGCTGGCACGACAGAAACAGGCTGAAGCCATTTCCTAGAGACCGTTACACAACGGCGTCAAAGCCTCGCTACGGTCATCTTTAACGCTACAGCAACCTGCCAGAGTTTTTCTCTGTAAAAAAACCTGTTTTTTACAGGTCCCAGCGTGTTACATCACGCTCACAAGGTGCTTGGATTGTGTCAGGCTGCGGCGTGTAGTAGTCTCTGCTGACTGCACTCATGAGAGTAGCTACAATCTGATCCGTTTTTCTGCTAACGTGTTCTGGCTCCCAAGGAACTGCCCGAGTATTTTCCTCCTCGGAGGGCAGAGCTGTAAGGTGCTTTTGTAGGGAATTTTTCGCACTCCTGTTCAAACAAAGGTGGCTTCCTTGTTTATTTCTCCATTTGACATACTTAAAAGTTCCAACACAATGAGATTTCCCAGGAAAAAAGCATGGATTTCAAGTTAAAGAGGAAATTATCTATTACATTTAAAGATAGCGTGGACGTTGTCGTGACCTAGAATTTAGGGCAAGGACAGGAATGCATATAATAGGGCCTGTAAACTTGCTGATGCTACCAAGAAATGACAAATACTCTTGTCTCTTGCTAATTCTCTACAGTTGTCATCGATACGTGTCAGTACACAAACATTCCATGTAGTGTCAGAGGTATAATTCTGGCTTACACAAAAGCTCCCTGTTTCCATCAGAGAAAGTGATGGTTAAGCAGGGACTGTGGTTCTTGTTCTGCAATAAATCAGGCATTGGAAAACTGTCAACAGGATTAAAAGCAAGCTGACAGGGTGCTGACGAAGAATGGGAAATTAAGTATCTCCTTCATGTAGAAAAACTAAATCACCGTTTACAAAATTTCATAGAAAGAGTCAGACACTGGTTTGCCATCCAAGCTAAAGGTTGCAAGGAAGTCTAGTATAGAAAAAAGACAAAAAAGAACAAGGCTGGACTGCCGTAAGAGTAAATTGGGAGATTCATGGCTCAGGTTTGTAAATGTAAACCCAAAATTAATGAGCTATGAAATATAACAATAATGTTCAAGAGTCATTACTAATAGCCCTGAATTGGCACGTCAGTCTGCAGACCAAACTCACTCAGCGTCTGCACAGGTTTAGTACCAAAATATCTCTATAAAAAGCCTTCGTCCGGTCTCAAAAGAAAGAAAAGCATCAGAAGGTAGAAAACTAGAAATATGTACAGATTCTTTTCATTCGTTTGTTTAATTAAGATTAAAAAAGCAGCTTTTGGAGCCAATGTTCCAGACTAGTGTAAGAATCTGCCCTGGGCAGCCTCATGGTCCAGGCAGCATAAGGACGTGTGTCAAGGAGCAGCCCTGCATCTGTTGCTCCCCCAGAAGGAGCTCGAAGGCATCGAAGAGATGAGGAGCTTGGACTCCAGAGGGTAACACAAGAGAAGGATCACTAGTGGATTCACACAGCAGCACTATGACCCTTGCCAGCACGACCGCTTTCAAAGAGGACAAGTCTGAAACCAAGTATTGGATCTTCTAGAAAGGAAAGAATGGAGTACGTGGGTGGAACACACACAACTTCTGATCTGGGGATGAAGCAAATGAACCCCACACTTATTTTTGTCCATAGAAGATCCCACCATGAAAATAAAAATAACTTGTACATAAGTAACTAGAACATTCTTCTATTCTGCTGTTGAACAGCATGATAAAGAGAGGAGTCTTATGCTGAATGGCCATTTCAGCCTTAAAAATGGTCTGATGAAGATGGGGAAGAAGAAAGAGGGCTAAGCCTTAAAGAAAGTCTGAGGAAGATGAGGAAGAAGAAAAAAAAAAAAAAGAGGGCTACTGATCAAAACTGAAAAATACAGCAAGCATATGGACTCAGGTGCCCTTGGCCAAGGCCAAGCGTGACTCTTGGGTCACCTAGCGAAACAGAAGGCTATTTAGTTGCCTCTACATAAAGACTCAGAATTTAGGCGCAAAGGGTAGCTATGAAGTTTGTGTTTCACAGCAGTTGCTTCAACTACTTACTGAGCAGGGTGTTGAGAAACTGTGGCTGTCTCATTCACATACATAGTTATTGCAGCTGGCTGTATGTATAGCAGATGGAAGGCAGCTTCTGCAACTGGTTATTAAGAAAAAGAATGGTCTTTAACAATATAATTTGCCCCGTCTGGGGGACTCATGATTAACAGTACATAAGTGATTGTATATACCTCAAGGAACTGAGTTTTAAAAAAATATTACAGTACCAATGATTTTTTTATATCTACAACTATACAGTATTTTCAAGCAGTATGGAAATTTAATGAAATAATTATGATTTATTAATTTACATAAAAATACTTTTTACAGTTAAAGAATAAATCTTAAATGGTAAAAAAAATAAGATTAAGAAGCTCCAGCTATTGAGAGTCATGGGAGTTTGTCTGCT